AGAGAGAGAAAGGGAGATACAGAATCCGAAGCAGGCTCCTGGCTCTGAGCTGTCAGCACAGAGCCTAGTGCGGAGTTCAAACCCATGAACCGCAAGGTCATGACCTGAGCTGAAGTCAGACACTTAACCAACTGAGCCACCCAGGTGCCCCTCATTCAGAACCCTTTAGTGAGGAGTCTCTTAATTGCAAATAACAAACTCAACTCAACAAGACCTAATTCAAAGTAGCATGAGCAGAGTGGGAATTTGTTGGCTCAGGTAACCAATCACAGAAAGGACAAGGGGGTGCTTATTCAGAAACCACCCAATCTGAAGACATTCCTTGTCCCTCCCTTTTGCCTCCCCATTCCCATCTTCACTCTGCCAAATTTCTCATCACTGCTTTTCCTTGTGAATTGGTATAAACCTCTTCTACTGAAGACAGACTTTCTGTATTTGGTAGGAAGACTAGCCATTTAGTTATAGCCATTTGGCTATTTTTAACTCAGCTTCCATCCCAGCAATCACCTACTCTCGAGAGAGAGGGGGAGAGAGAGAGAGAGGAGAGAGAAAGAGGGAGAGCGAGAGCTCTAGGTCAAATGTCATTAGTATATGTTAGCTGCCTGTGTCAGTTATAGTTATTACTATTTGAATGAAGAGAAGGGGGGAAGAACATTCCAAGCCAACAGAATAACTTAACTGGAAACATGAAGGTGAGTGGCATTCTTTAAAAAGGCTCAGTCTGGTTGGGATGTAGAGTACAATGCAGATAACAATGATTAGAGATGGTGCTAATGAGAGGTAGTTTGGGACTAGATGGTAAAGGAACGTAGATACCAGCCAAAGAATTTTGACTTTTCAAAATATACAGTGGGAACCATTGAAAAAAAATTGTGGCATCACTTTTTTTCCTAATCTGATATCCAGGCTTTCTTTTTATTTTTTTATGGAAAATTCTCAACATACACTGTAATAAAAAAGAGTAGTATAAATACCCCCATGTATTCATTACGCAGCTTTAACAGTTATCAATATGTGGCCAATCCATTGAAAATTTTTGAAGAAGGCAAGAAAGGAGATTAACATTGTGTCACTTCCTTTGCTTTAGTTAATCTTCACAATGTGCCTGTAGAGTATGTTGTATTCCCACTTTCCCTAATTACAAATGAGAAAGCCATCAAAATGATGAACTAAGTAACAGTGCTGGGATTCTAACCCACACCCAACTTCAGAACTCAAGTTCTTCCCCGTGTTGCATAATGCTGCCTCTAATTATGATGTAGGACATTATTCTGTTAAAAATAGCTGCTGTACTGCTGTACTGGGGCTGTTGACCCTATTCAGGATGGTAGACTTCTCTGCCTCCAGCCACCCTGCCTCTACAGGGTCACCAGGATCTAAGTCTGTGTAAACGTTGAACCTAATCAGTTAAAATGACCATTTAGTCCAGTGATTCTCAAAGTATGGTCCCCAGACAAGCAGCAAGTTGTTAGAAAATGTAAATTCTCAGCTCCCCACCACCACCCCAGCCTACTGAATCAAAAATTCAGAGGCTGGGAGCTCATGATGCCGATATTGCTACTTACTGTGTTTAAATAAAAATGCTCCAGTTGTTTCCTGAAAACATGAGGTTAAAACCATCTACCAAGAGCATTTCTAAGGCAAAGCCATATCAGAAGAATTTATATGTTTCTTTTTTAACAAGTTCATGAAAAGCATGTCTTAAGTTAGGAATTCGTATTCAGACAGTACCAGCAGTCTCCCTTGGGATGTTACATGACTACGTGGAAAGGAATTTTAAGGCATTTGCACTGCCTATATTTAAAGTGCTTGATGGTGCCATCTGGTGGAGTAAGCACTATAGAATGTGCAGCTTTATTACTCAGTGCTTCGGGGATAGGTGTGCATTTTTAAAAAATCAGTGTTATAGTAAAAGTTTAATGGAATAGCCAGACATAAGATGTACAAAGAGTTTATTTACTGTAAAACCTCCATTGAGGATATGATACCAGAGCACAAGCAACAAAAGAAAAATAGCTAAATTAGACTTCATCAAAACAAGAACTTTTTGTGCATCAAAGGACACTATTGGGAAAGTGAAAAGACAGCCCACAAAATAAGAGAATATATTTGGAAGTCATACATCTAATAAAATACATGTATCTGATTATATGAATAACTCTTACAACCCCACAACAAAAAGACAAAACAACCCAATTTAAAAACGAGCGAAGGACTTGAGTAGACATTTTTCCAAGGACAGCATACAAATGGCCGGTAAGCCCATGAAAAGATACCCAACATTATTAGTCATTAGAGAAATGCAAGTCAAAACCACAAGGAGGTACTGCTTGCATGGCTTGAATAATTTAAAAAAAACAAACAAACAGAAAACAACAAGCATTGATGAGGATGTAGAGAAATTGGAACCTTTATACATGGTTAATGGGGATGTAAAATGGTGCAGCCACTGTGGAAAAGTTTGGCAGTTCCTCAAATAGTTAGACATAGAATTACCATAGGACTCAGCAGTTCCACTGGTAGGCATATACCCAGAGAATTGGAAACAGATGTTCAAATAAAAACTTATACATAAATGTTCATAGCAGCATTATCCATAATAGCCAAAAAGTGGAAACAACCCAAATGCCCATCAACCAATGAATGGATACTAAATGTAGTATATCCATATAAAAGAATATTATTCAGTCATAAAAAGAAATGAAATATTAATACATTGATGAACCTTGAAAACATTATGCCTGGTGATAAAGGCGGGCACAAAATGACACGTGTTATATGGTTCCATTTATATGAAATGTCTAGGCAAACCCTTAGAGGTAGAAAGATTAATGGTTGTCAGAGGTGGGGGCGGTGAGGGAGAAATGGGAGTCACCACCTAATGGATATGGGATTTCTTTTGGGGACAGTGCAAATATGCTGGACGTAGATAGTACTGATGGTTACACAACATTATGAATGTACTAAAAGCCACTGAATTGTATACTTTAAAATAGCTAAAGTGGTGAATTTTATGTTGTGAAAATTTTACCTCAATTTTTAAGACAATTTCCATTGATTGGCAGGACTCCAGAACCTTTTTTTGATTATTGCTATTATTATAGATATATTTTCCCCATAGTTGTTGCTAATATGTATGCTATTTGTTTTACTTTTTTTTTAACCTAAAATTATTTTGTACCTACTTTTGCAACAGTATAGTTACCATAGTTTTTGTTGGTGCCTATATTTCAGTCATTATATATATCATAGCCTAATTATTTTTCAAATGTTTCGCGGTTTTCTTTTTTTTTTCTTTCAATTTCAGTGAATCCTACTCTAAATGCTTAAACAAAGAAGGTTTAAAATTCTTTATAGACATTTCATTGGTGTTTCTTCAAAAGTGTATTTCTAAATCACTTTTTTCTAACCATTGCTATTGTGTTTTTTTCTCTGACTGCTCTGTAGTAAGAGTATACTAATTTATAATCCTACCAACAGTGGATGAGGAAAAATGGAGGAGATGATTTGACATGATTGCATGTCTACTCTGTTTCAGGCACTGTGCCTGGATCCTTTCACATCCACAGTTCCATTTAACTCCCACACCTACTCTGTTATAAAATGACTACAGCGGTTGATGGCAGTTAATAAACAGATGAACAAAGATTAGAACCCAATAACTTTGTCTCCAAGTGTATCCTGTTTCTACAGCTTTACCAATATTGGATTTTATCTTTTTTAGTTCCTATTTATTAGAAAGATTCAGCATTTTCCCAAGTGATTGTTTACTGGTTATAAGTACGTTTATGTAACAATCTTTATCTTTTGTCCATTTATTATTAATAGATTTTAAACTGAATTTACCTCGTGAACAGTAGGTGTTCTGTATCAAAGCTTTGTCATAATTTTTTTTTGCTTTTGTTTATTACCCTTTTACAGGCTCTTGATGGAAATGTATATGATCACCTGAAGGATTATTTAATAGCCTTCAGCCGGACTGAGCTAGAGACATGCCAAGCTGTGCAGAACACATTCCAGTTTTTATTAGAAACCTCCAGCAAGGTAAGTTACCTTTAGTGAAATATGTGATGTTATTCATTTTAGAATCTAAAATGTTTTTGCATACAAACAAAATGAAGTCACCGGTACTTTAGAAGAATGCTTTAAAGGACAAATCTCCTGGAAACACTTTTCCTTCTAACAAAGTTGCATGGTGTTCTGATGAGTTGGCACAAAGGGGAAAAGGGGAGGTAATGGTACAAGCTAGTGCAGGATATCACTCTGCTGCCATATTGCTTTTGAGATGAAATGATTTGAAGAGTTTTACCTTCGGGGTGCCTGACTGACTCAGTCAGAAGAGCATGTGACTCTTGATCTCAGAGTTGCAAGTTCAAGTCCCACATTAAGTGTAGAGATTACTTAAAAATAAAATCTTTAGGGGCGCCTGGGTGGCTCAGTCAGTTGAACCTCTGACTTTGGCTCAGGTCATGATCTCATGGTTTGTGAGTTTGAACCCCACATCGGGCTCTGTGCTGACAGCTCAGAGCCTGGAACCTGCTGCAGATTCTGTCTTTGCCTCTCTCTCTCTGCCTCTCCCCTGCTCACGCGCTGTCTCTCTCTTTCGCTGTCTCTCAAATATAAACATTAAAAATTTGTTTAAGGGGCGCCTAGGTGGCGCAGTCGGTTAAGCGTCTGACTTCAGCCAGGTCATGATCTCACGGTTCGTGAGTTCGAGCCCCGCGTCGGGCTCTGGGCTGATGGCTCGGAGCCTGGAGCCTGTTTCCGATTCTGTGTCTCCCTCTCTCTCTGCCCCTCCCCCATTCATGCTCTGTCTCTCTCTGTCCCAAAAATAAATAAAAACGTTGAAAAAAAAAATTAAAAATTTGTTTAAATAAATAAAATCTTTAAAAGAAAAAAGGGAATTTTACCTTCCACTCAAATAAATGTTGAATGCACTCAACTCATTCATATGGAAGGACAGCAAGGTCATGTGTAAGTGTAAAAAATAATAAAAAGACACAAAAGGGAAGGTAGCATTTTATCACTGATCAAAAAATGAAGGCTTTATCTTGTTTTTTAAAAATTAACCTTACCTCCTACATGCTGTCATTCATTGATGGTAAATCTTTGTTCAAAAGTGTTAGGATCCAGCAACTTTGCTGGCATGTTCACACTGTGTGCAGAGAAAATAAACAAAATTGCTTTTCTTCAGGATCCTGACAGATTAAAATTTTTTTGCAGCATACAAACTGTCCTTTTGAAGATAAATTGTTCTTATGATTAGTAATTTTTTTATTCTGATACATTAAATGCATAGTAAATGTTTCCCAGCTGAATGCATGCATTTGTAAAACTATATTCATTTTGTAACAGCTATTTTTAAAGATTTCGTTCAATCCTCTTTTTTGGCAGGGGAAGCAGGAACTGACTTAATACCTTAAGAAATTGTTTGGAAAGGAATCAGGCTTTCTTAAGAAAAGAAGCATAGACTCTTCTTCCTGAGCACCTCCTTATATATTTATTCTTGTTTTCAGTGTACCATGACTCTATTTCTATTTTTAGAAAAACATTTAAAATATTAATTTGGGGGGCACACAGCTGGGTCAGTCAGTGGAGTATGATCTTGGGATCATGAGTTCTAGCCCCATGTAGGGCCTAGAGTTTACTTCAAAAAGTAGATAGGTAGGTAGGTAGGTAGGTAGATGGATAGAATATTAAGTTGATACAGAAATATAAAAATCACTAGTCTGGTGCTTTGAAATCCTATCATGTTTCTATTTTCCTGGATTTTCTGGATTTTCCAGAATCCAATACAAGATATAGAAGGATTGATGTATAGAAAGTAGGATGGGTAGAAAGATGGGTAGTTATATGAAAGCAAATGTAGAAAAATGTTAATTGAAGAATCTAGGTAGTGGGTATATGGGTGTTTGCATATAGTTATCTTTATTTTAAGGTATATGTATTTGAAATTTTCTATAAGAGAATGTTGGGGGAATGAGTCTATAAAAACATCTTGGCTTTGTTCTGTTTGTGGAGCGGTTGATTTTTGAATAGTGATCAAACTGTGTATATTTATTGGCCCATTCAGGCTTCCTGTTCCTTTTTTTAATACATTTTGGTAACTTATACTTTCCTAGACAATAGTCCATTTTATTTATCAAATTTGATGGTATATGTGTATAAACTTGGGTACTCTATTGTCGTCTTCCTTTCCATTTCTAATATTGTATGTGCTGTGCTTTCTTTCATTTTGATCAAACTTACCAGTCTGTCTTCTTAATCTCCAAGATCCAGCTTTTACTCTACTTCTTCATGTTGTTGCTATCTCCTTAATACCTGCCTTTATATTTATTATTTCTTTCTACTTTATTACAGTTTATGTGCTTATTCTTTTTCAGGCTTCTTTTTCTATTAGATCCTTTGTTTTAGTCTTTCTTGCAAGTAAATCCACTTAAGGCTAAAAATTTCTTTTTCTACTTTAACTGCATTTTATATGTAGGGGCTTTTTGTTGTTTCTACATTCTCCCCCTTGTTAACCCATGAACTGTTTAGAGATGAGTTTTTCCAGTTTTCATTCAGTGGGAGTATTGTAGTGGGGTAGCATTTTTCATTTCTAATTTTATTAGAAATTATATTTTATTACATTTATTTTTATCAGAGAGATTGTCCTCTGACAGAATTGTTTAAAATATCTTTTTCTGAAAATAAGTTATGTTGGATACACTACTTTTAGTTTATAAAACAGGTAAATTTAGTCTTAAAGAATAACTAATATTTTACACAACACTTAATTTTCTAGGAGTTTTAAGCACATCCTCTGAGGCTGATATTATCATGCCCGTTATATAGAAGAAAACAGACTCAGGAAGTTTATATGGCTGCCCGAGGTTACATACTCACACATCGCATTTTCCATGCTCTACTACTATACTATATTATCTCTTTAGCTTGTATTATTTCCATAGAAAATGAATTAAAAATATATAAACTGGTTTGGACATAAAGAGATAAGCTTTCATGTTTCTCTGCATTCACTCATATGAATATCTTGCTCCCCAGGGATGAGGATAAATGATATCCTCTTCTGTTTATATTGAAAGTAAGAATGATATAACTAGGAATTGAGCCCTTTGTTCCAAAAACTAGAAGAGCTCATACCTTTAAGTTTTATGCCATGTGCTTTTCTGTTACAAAGAGCTTGTTATGCTATTCTTGTTACACTGCTGAACCCAGCACAGTGATCTGATAACCCAGAGAGAAGTTTGAAAATCTTCAGGTTTTTATTCTACACCATTATTACTTTGTCTTTTTAGGGAGGAGTTTATTCTCCCGCCCCCATCTAAATTGTAACTGTACATATTCTCAAAGATACTTGGGGGGGGATAATCCATACTGACACACTGTAGCTATTATCGTGTTCTCTGTATCTTTCATCCTGTGAAGAGAAACACCTGGCCCTAGGAGCTTTTGTTTAAGTTTAATTATTTATGAAGCTTGCTCCTTAATATTTTATGAAATGCTTTGTATATGTAACTGAAGCAGATGTTGTCATAAATATTTTGTCTAGGATAGTAACTCCAAAGGTAGTTCTGGCTTTTATAGTTTGTTCACGTGTGCTTGCTTTCTGTCTGCGTAAGGAGACTCCTACCAATTAGTAACATGGCTTTTTAACAGTTCAGAAAAGAAGTGTTATTCTGTATTTTTTTGGAAATTGACTTGTCCGTTATTGCCACTCGTAATACCTTGAAGACTAATCAAAAAGTAAACTTAATAAAATAAAGGGAAAAAAACTATTATCATCTCAAAAGAAACAGGGAAAAGAAAAGACACAGGAAAAACATTTGACAAAATTAAACACTCTTTTATGATAAAAACACAAATTAGAAATAGAAGGGAACTTCCTTAACAGATAAAAGGCATTTATGAAAAACCTACAGTTAACATCGTGCTTAATGGTGAAAATCTGAAAGGTTTCCTTCTAGAGATCAGGAACAAGACAAAGATGCCCATTTTCCGTACTGTACTGGAAGTCCTAGTCAGATCAATTAGTCAAGGAAAAAAGAAGTAGAAGGCATCCATATTGAAAGGGAAGAATGAAATTATCTGTTTTTGCAGATGACATAATTATATATAGAAAATACTATAGAGACCATGAAAAAAGTACTAAAGCTAATAAGTCAATTCAGTGAAATTACAGGTACGAGATCAAAACACAAAAATCAACTATGTTTCTGTACTCCATCAATGAATACGCCAAAAGAAAATTAAGACAATTCCAGCTATAATATCTAAAGAATAAAATACCAAGAATAAATTTAAATAAAGGATTCAAAGACTTGTACATTGAGAAACTATAAAACATTGCTGAAAATAATTGAAGAGGACCTAAATAAATGGAAATCATATTTATGGATTGAAAGAGTTCATATTCACCAAAGCAATCTATAGATTCAATCAATCCCTATCGAAATTCCAATGACCTTTTTTTGCAGAAATGGGAAAGCCTGTCCTCAAATTCATATGGAACTTCCAAGGGGCCCTGAATACCCAAAAACAACATTGAAAAGAAAAAACAAAGCTGAAGGACTCACACTTCCCAATTTCAAAAGTTAATTCAAGATTAATCAAAATAGTGTGGTACTAGCATAAGGACAGACATATATAGACCAATGAAATAGAATTGAGAATCCAGAAATAAGCCCAAACGTCTATGGCCAATTGATTTTCAACAAGGTTGCCAAGGCCACTTAGTAAAGAAAGACTACTTTTTTCAACAAAAGACTTGTGCTGAGACAAGATAACCACATGCAAGAGAATGAAGTTGAACCCCTGCCTCACTCCATATACAAAAATTAACTCAAAATGGATCAGTGACCTAAAACTATAGAAGAAAACGTAGAGGTAAATCTTTATGACCTTGGGTTTGGCACCGTGTTCTTAGCTTTGCCATTAAAGCAGAAGCAACCAAAGAAAAAACAGATAATTTGACTTACTCAAATTAAAAGCTTTTGTGCATTAAAGAACATTCTCAAGAATATAGAAAAGACAGGGGTGCCTGG